AGCTGTGGTGTTGTCCAGCTTCATTTTTTACCAGTCCTCTTGGAACATTTTGGGCAAAGGACTGAAGGGAAAGGAAGGCCGCTTTCAGTTCTAAGACATTGATGTGGTCGGCCTTCTCCAGGCTTGACCATCGCCCCCCCGCCTTTTTTTCTTGTGAGAATCCTCCCCATCCCTGGAGGGAGGCATCGCTTTGTACTTCCAGGACTGTTTGTGGTCTCAGTTGAGCCCCGTTCGAGTTTGTTAGCGATTTCGGCCACCAACACAGATCCTGTCGTGCCATCGGAGAAAGACGAATCACACTGCTGTAGTGTCCCGACTTCTTGAGACCGAGACGTAGATCTTTCTGTAGGTAACGGTAGTGTAGGGGTGCCAGTGGCACCGCTTGGCTGGTTGAAGACAACAACCCTACTAGGCTCGCTAGTTCTTGAAGGGAGGCTTTTCCCTTCGAAAGTAGGTTTTGACATCGATCCACTATCTTCAGTACTTTCTGGTCCGGCAGGAGGACTTCCATCTTCACTGAGCAAATAGTGAACCCTAGGAACTCCCTTGTTTGGGATGGTGTTAACTGCGACTTCTCCAAGTTGACTACAAACCCCAGGTTCTCTAAGAAGGACCGGGTCAGAGCCGTGTGCTCTCTGCATAGATCTGCACTTTGTGCCATTATCAATATATCGTCCAAATATATTACTAGTCGGACTCCGAGGGCTCGTAGCTGAGCCGCAATTGGCTTGAGAATCTTGGTAAAGACCCTGGGGGCCGAGGACAAACCGAAGGGAAGGACTGCAAACTCGTAAAGACTGTCTTTCCATATGAACCGTAGGTATTTCCTGTGATTGTGGAATATGGGTACGGTGAAGTAGGCATCCTTCAAATCTAGATTTGTCATATAATCCCCCGGTTGGAGGAGATCCAAGACCTTTTGGAATGTTTCCAATTTGCAATGTTTCTTGACAATGAAATTGTTTAAGTACTTGAGGTTGATAACTGGGCGAAGTTCTCCGCATTTTTTGGGGACAAGAAAAATTGAAGAGATGAACTGACCTGTTGTGGGTAAGGCTCTCTGGATAGCTCCTTTTGAGAGGAGTTTTTCCACCTCCTGGTCGATTAGAATTGTGTCTGAGCCGGGGCGAACTTTGGTGACCGGTATGTGGATTTGTGATGGTTGGGAGGAGAGTTCTAGACGGTAACCCTGGATGGTGTCCAATACCCAATTGTCCTGTGTAATCATACGCCAGTTGTGGACGAAATGGGGCAGTTCGCCCCACGGAAGGGAGGTGACAAGTTGGAAGATGAAAGTTGTGGTACTGGAGAGAGGGTGGCCCAGGAGGTGGAGATCTTGGAGTGACTAGTCCTAGTTTTTTGGAGGGGAACGAAACCCCCCCGAGACTGAGTGTTAGCTTTCTTTTTGTGGTAGGGAGCCTTCTTGTGGTCTGAACGAAATCTACCCTTGGATTTGTTCCGAAAGTCTTTCTTTGGGTTGTACTTCTGGTTGTAGTGCCCTCCCGACGAGAAGACGCCTCCCAGAGTCTTTCTTAGACGTGGAGGCATTCTTCACTTGGTTAACAAAATCATCCCCAAACAGATGTTTTGATGTGGGGTTATCCTCAGATAGGAGATGTTTTAGCTCCTTTTTCCCGACCAAATTGGCACACTGGTCTCTTCTATGTAGGGAAAAGTTGAAGGAGGCACTACCCAGCAGCACTAGAGCCGATTCTAAGGTCTCCACCACAAAATCCTTGTCACATGGACGGCGATCATATTTCAGTTCATACAAACAGTGCGTCAGTGGCTTAGCGACTTGCATAAAACGGCTATGTAGGCCCAATAATTTCCGTTCTCCCTCGGCTGTTTTGGATTCCAACAACGCCGATTGATCTGGGGGAAGGGTTGGGGCACTCACGATGTCAATCAAGTTAGAGGGAACCGAATATTGCCCACACCGTTTCTCGTATTCCTCCTTAGGGAGGCGTCTAGTGAAAAGATCATTTAGGTACTTTTTTAGATCCTCCGAAGCAGGGGAAAGACCTGAATTACTCTCATTGTAAGGATTGTCAAATGACATACCTTCCTCCTCGGCCTCCTCGGAGGCCGATTGGTTCTCTTCCCCGTCCTCTGAGTCGCTTCCCGAGGCGTAGGACTGTGAGTCCGCGGAGCAAGAGGGTCCGGGACCGCCCGTTCGGTAGGATTGTATGGCTTGGAGAGCTGTCGTGACGTCCTGGAGGGTTCTCTCCATCGCCGACATTCTGCTCTCAAAGGCGCTAGTCGGTGGCGCTGGGAAGCCATATCCAAGCGGGGGAAGGTGGAGGCGGCATGAAGTTGAACCACGGGTTGGGTCCGTAAGCCGCTGCGGCTGCCACATGTGGTCCGCCGCGCGGGAAGCCGCCTTGGGCGGGCTCCCTTTCCATGTGCGTCACGCTGGAGTCGCCTGCCCGGCGGGCAGCCGACCCGTCCCCACGACTCGTATCGACCGGAGCCGAGCACGAGCCGGAGCCGCCCGCTTGCCCGGCAAAATCGGCATTTTGTACGCGATTTTGGCCGAGAGGGACCTGGTTTTGCGAGGTGTCCGTCGGCATACCAGCGTCCCCATGGGAGGGAGAAAGCGCGGGGTCCGCTGACTTTCTCTCCTCCGCGTGACTCTCTTTCGCGGTTTTAGCGGGCTTTTGGGAGGTCCGAACCTCCCTCACATCCTGCGACGGTGTCTTGACTTTCTTGGAAGACATCCCGGTTGTATAAGGGTTGACAACGACGCGAAAAAACGGAATCAAGCTTGATGAAAAGCTGAGTACAACTCTCGACGTATTTCCAATATGGCGCGCCAAGGAAAAGAATGAGGACTAGGGCATTATGGGATAGGGGTAACCTTTGAACTTTGACTCTTGGCGTAGTATATGCATATTAAGGAAAACTGCACATTAATCAGGTATTTGGCCAGTGATAGCACGAAGGGGAGCTGTGAGGGACAACCCTAGTTTGTTTTAGATTGCATAAATACCGATAACAGTTACAGACATTTGAAAAAAAATTTTGATTTTCGTCATATGGAGTTCAAAATCATTTTATACACGTTTTCACAATCGACATACAGACGTTAACTGTTGTTTCCATTCAGGTATCTGGAGAACCACATGAAATATGGGGAAAAGAATCATTTAAACATTTAAATCATTTAAAGAATCTATAAACTTCAAACATGTCATCTTAGAAATGTTAACCTCAATTGGCGTTGTAAACGATCATTTTCTCAGGGTTGAGCTTCAAGTAATAGGTAACCCACATGTAGATGTGCTAAAGAACACTTTGAAAACCTACCTTTTCGTGATGAGGGTATGGGCCAGGCATGCAGGAGCGAACACACCACTGTAAGGAAGAATTTAGAAAAGACGTCAGTATCACCATCAAATAAGTAACATTGTTTGAACAAAACACGGATTTAAAAGAAAAAACTTGGTCTAGCTGCCTTGCCATTCAATGTCGAAGGTGGGTTCTCATTGCTGTAGTTGGTGATAGTCGAATGCAGTGCGGAAGTTTTTCTTTCCTTCGTTTCCCCCGTTTTTAACCTATCTATCTATTTATCAAAATTCTAACGTCACAATACAGTGGACTACCCAGACATCAGTGCTGATTTTTTTTTGACTCCATGGTTTGACGGCGTTTGTTTGAGCACGTCGGCAGAACGTCTCATATAAGGTCATATTTGCGTATATAAGGTTAACATCCCGACTGTAGTTTCGGAAAAGATATCGTCTGCAGCTGGCAAAATTCTGATGCAACGGTGACCAAAAATCAAACGGAAACCGTGGAAAGTCTTTCGCGCAGGGGCAGTACGTTCTGCCGACGCGCCGTTTGTCTCAGGTGACGTCATAGTTCTCGCGAGACTCACGTGACGTTGGCGAGCGTCTTCCTGAGGTCCACCCCCAGGTTGTGGATGTAGTTCCACTGCTCCTTGTCCACAGGAGTCCCCACGTTATTCACCATCATCTGAGCCTCGTCAAACAACCACTGGATCACGAACAACGGTGCTAAGGAGACAAAAACGACCAGAAAGGTAACGTTAACAAATCAAATGCATAATGTTGGTCTAGCCTATAGAAACTACTGCTCTGCATATTGCTACTCGAACACATTTATATATTATATGTGGTGAGCAGCCACTCTAGCTCAGTCCTGCTCCATAATGTAACCCAACACCACAGGGCGTCTGCTACAATGCTAGTTACCATGGTGACAGACGGGGCTGCGGAAACAGAAAACAACAAGTATGTAAAGCAGTATTTTAACTGTGATCCTTAGTTTAAGCCTTTGTGTAATTATGTATAGATAATTCTGTAGATGTTATGAGTTGACGGCTTTGATTTTAATGCCCTGTCCTTAACTTATGTAGCTCGTTGTCCTTGTTAGGGTTAGCTTCGGAAACAAAAACAACCAGAACTTGAAGGTAACATTTGCAAAGGACATACATAATGTTAACCTTCCTACCTGATGATGTTTTTGTTTACATCATACACATGCAAATTATCTGAGTACATATGCAAATTATTGGCGGGCAAATCAACCAACCGTCCGCCGCTTTTTTTTTTCGTTTGGAACAGAAGAAGACGACACAGAGCAAAAATGATGTTTTCATTCTGTGAAGGTAAACCTATATATCTAATATAATATATTATAATAAGTTATAATTATGTTTACATTCAGAGAGGGAAACACTGTTTTTGCTTCTCATTTTCCTCTTCAAAAGTCAATGACCTGAACCAGACGGCTGTCACCATGGTAATTGTATTGTAGCAGACATTTAGACCCTGTCTATACGGAACCACCCAAGGCGGTTTACATGTGGTTTACCCCGAAGCCGGTTTCAAGTGGCTCCGTCTGAACGGTCCGAAATCACATTGAAAGCGCCTTCGTCTGGAGCCACTTCTAGAGGTGGTTTCGAATCGGTTTCCCCGCATCGCGATTTGCGTCTGAACGCAATGTGATTTCAATGTGACTTCGCCTGGTCATGGATTACGGAGTGATATTTCTTTTTTTATATGCAATACCAACTTTTACGCAACTTACAGAGCAGTAATGGTCAAATAATGTGTCCGTTCTAGGGCGAGCTTCACCGCCTCTGGCGGGACCACGTCGGCATTCGGCCGAGATAGGCTGGGAGGGGGGCATCGGCAATCATGTCGTTGACATCTGACATTAATAACACGCCGCCTTGCGTGTTATCATCAAACAGCAATAAATGTAGCGCAAGAGCATTATGTTCGGACCCGGTTTCACAGGTGTGTGTGGCACGTGGACCAGATGTGAGGAATGTGAGTTACCCGAATCGCGCCTTGGGTGGTTCCGTATAGACACGGCCTTAGTGTTGTTGGAAATCATTACTGGTATTTATCATGGGTATTTTTGTAGAGGATGTTAACCTTGTTAACTGTATGTTTACCTTGTAGTGTAGGGTAGGCCCTGTACCCGAAGAAGCAGCGCCACTGCTCGTCTTTGCTGTACTGCCGGGCACAGCGCTCGGGTACCTGCCCGTTCCACCATCTACATGGGTCAGGACAATCAGGCAAGTCAGAAGGTTTAGGGCTTAAGACCAGGTAAGATGCACCCGTCGCTAATCTCCAAGCAGATCCTAGGGTGGCAAAAGACAGTATCAAATTGGCCAGGCAGTATCCATTCGTCAGAGAGGGTCACCCAAGGGCGTATGGACCTTCTGGCGAATGGATACTGCCTGGCCAATTTGATACTGTCTTTTGCCACCCTAGGATCTGCTTGGAGATTAATCCATCGCTGTAATACTAGTACGTCAATGACCTACGGCATACAAAATATATACATGCCTCCTGCACACACACACACACACACACACACACACAGGGGGCATGTATATCTTTTGCTGAGAACTACTAAGTACCGGAACCTGCGATCTACTACTACTACATATTAATGCTGCAGTGCCAGGATATTACACTAGGTGGCGTGCTCAAGGCGCACATAGGCATGGCTGCTGGTGTCGTGAGTAACTCTAGACTACCACTCACTGTATCCCCCTGAAGTAAATCATTATTACCAAATCATAGGTATGTGCCTATACGTCGCACGGAGGCATGACTGCTGCAGTACTAAACTAGAGTTCCCCGATCTCATACCTTCGCCAAATGATGTTAAACTTTATGACTGACAAATTATAGATTAGATTATTCCCCCCTGATTTAAGAAATAGGAACCTAATTTTCATGAATTAATCATTCTATCATAATCTCAACCAAAAGACAGTCTTATATATGTTAACAAACAATGCATTCTAGCATTTCCTAATAAATTATGCAAATGAGGTCCTGATTTGAATAAATTGTGTTTAATGATGTTCACGTCAACTAAACTTTCAAATACCACAAGTATGAAATTCCAGGCAGTTATCATTACATAATTATAAAATTTTCTCATTAATTATGCAAATTAAGTCATTATTAACATAATCAATATCTTCCTGTGTTTCTCTCATTGTCAATTACCAATGTCACAAGCTTCAATTGTCCTATCATGGAATGCAGCTGATTTATAGAATTTCCCCATAAATTATGCAAATTACATCCATATTTGCATAATTGTCACATAATTATATTAAACATCGCGTAAGCTACCTACATACCAAAAATCACGACGATCCGTCAATCGGTTCTTGAGTTATCCCCTTTTGAATATTTTCAAGAATATATCCCTGCAGTTCTAGAGCAAGCCGCTAGGGGGCCCAAACTCACGTCACTTCTTCCCCAGCACAAGAGCTACCTACCATCCAAATTTCATCACCATAGCATGTCTAGATCATGAGATATCAAAACCGGAAGTTCAGCTGCAGTACCATAACAAGCCGCTAGGGGGCCCAAAATCTAATCATTTTGAGGTCTCATCAAGACCTACCCACCTACCAAGTATCAAGACAATCCATCAAGGCCTTCTCAAGTTATCGTGTTTACAGACAGACAGACAGACAGACAGACACACACACACACACACACATACACGAACGCCCCTGAAAACATAACCTTCTTGGCGAAGGTAAATATTACGCTAGGTGTCGTCTCTACCACTCACTTCATGGCCCTTCGGATGGCCTCGGTGGGCGCGCAGGACAGGGTCTCGGTGCACTCGGTCGGCATGTACTGCTGCTATACTAAAATATTACGCTAGATGGCGTGTCTCTACCACTTACTGTATTCCCCTGCGGATGGCCTCGGTGGGCGCGCAGGACAGGGTCTCGGTGCACTCGGTCGGCATGTACTGCTTGTTGTCCAGGAACCAGCCGGAGTCTGCCACCCCCTGCACCTGCACAGTGGACCCTTCCCGTCTCAGGAGCTCCGCCGCGCGGTCCACGTTAAGGATCACCCCGGTTCCGCCCGCGCTGCCAAATTAAGGCGGACAACGTGTGTTAGAACGGACCACAGCAAGAATAGTCTTGTACATGTATGCTAAATGTGGATCTCGATAAAGTGAAGACAACGACCTGATACTCTAAAGCCACACCAAGTAATTTTATGGGTGACGTCCTCTGGAGACCCTAAAGGCTAAATCTAATACCAGAGTACCAAAAAACATAAAGGACGGGAAAAAATGCCTAGATTTGAAATATACTAGGAGGCGACAAATGTTAGGGCACAAATTGAATGAGACAATACAGTGTAACAACTAACAAGTCTTTTACGCCAAAAAAACAGTTACTCAAGTAACTGGATATGATTTTGGAGACAGACGTTTCAGGGACAGGTAGCATCCACTACCCTTTGTCAGTGACACTGGTGAGTTGTCAGAAAAGCATGTTTGTAAGCACAAACTACTAGTATTTATTGATATGCAAATCAGTTAAGAGAACTTTTTAAATGTCCAAAAAGAAACAAAAGTGAGACAAGTCAACAAAAGCTAAAGGATGATACAAATAGCTCCTGTTGTTTCTACAAGTGCCTGAGAGTTCTACCCGTACACCCCCCCCCCCCCTGTTGAGGGTGGAGTTGTACATTCTTTCATGTACATTGCCTCCCTAACTCCTCGTTCTCACCAGCGGGTTTCGCGGTCTAAGGAGGACAACGACCTGTCTTTAAGGAGAAACTCTAACCAGAGGTTCTTACTGAAGAAAACCAGAGAGAACACTCGCTATGTCCGATACGCGAAGCGGTACTTTCAATCAGGGGTGCCAAAGAATTCATACGAATTTTACGGAATTCATATGGATTTTACTGAATGCACACGAATGTTACGAAATACGTACGGTTCATTACAAGGAAACATACGAATTTCACAAAATACATACGATCTTTTACTCGGAAACATACGATCCTTACTAATTTGACGATCCAGGAGCAGGTCTCCAAATTAGTAAGGATCGTAAGTTTACCAGAATTGGATCGTATGTATTTTGTGAAAATCGTATTCTTTGGCACCCCTGTTCAAGAGGACAACGACCTGTTAGGAGACACTCTAACCAAAGGTTCTTAAAGTTGTGAAGAAAACCAGAGAGAACACTCGCTATGTCCGGTACGTGAAGCGGTACTTTCAAGTCGTCTTCCCTCGGACGTCGTCCAATTACTTAAGGACCAGGTTAAACGGTCTGAAGAGAGAAAAGTTTCCATTCCACGAGTCTCTTTCTCGTCGAGAAGATATAGAGGTAGTCTCTACCAGACTAACTACGCTGGCTATATATATTTTGTTCTATGTTTTTACGGTCCAGGAAGATTAGCTGCGTATTCGTGTATTTGTGTACGACAGCTAATGAACTGAATAAAGTATCCAAGTATCCAAGTAGTACAGGAGAATATTTGCCAGGGGGGGTTGGCCGCCTTGTAGGTTTGACAGGCCGCGAGGGGAAGAAACTACCTCCCCGCGGCTGGACTCCCTTGGCCAAATTAGCTTTCTTTTTTGCCGAATTCTACGATCCGTATTCCAGTAGAAAGGCCTGGTGGAGGCTAATATAGAGGGGGGAGGGCGAAAGAAGCAGAAGAGAGAAGGCAAGAAGGGGAACTACGAAGAGAATCTTCCCCAGCCTTTATATTTTCTTCCTAGTTAGAAAATGAGATCTACTTTAGGCCAATATTGCGTTCTTTGGACAATTAAAGTTAACACAATATTGTGTCCATTTGGATATCAGTGTACTATGACAATTCTGCTGCATCGAGTTGTATACAACGGCACAATTGAATGATTCCCCAGTTGGGCGGCTTTGTTCAGTCGTGCCTACCACGAAAGAGCTGGAAAGAGTAGAAATTGGCCAAATAGAGAGATAACATGCCAAGGGAGTTAAAAAGTCCGCTAGAAAACAGTACTCTCTCTATCTAGCGGCATGTTATACCTCTGTTTGGTCAATTTCTACTCTTTCCAATCGCCTCCCGAAGCCTGGTGGAGGCTACCTACCACAGGCAAGACTCGGAGCAGTTTCCAGAAACAGACGTTTGCTCGTAAATAGCGCGGAAATAAATACAGCAGGGATGTCACAAGCGCCTAGCCTCTACCAGGCTTCGGGAGGCGGCTGGAAAGAGTAGAACTTGGCCAAATAGAGAGATAACATGCCGGGGGAGTTGGTCCGCTAGAGTGCGGCAAACTGTACTCTCTAGCGGACCAACTCCCCTGACATGTTATCCCTGTATTAGGCCAGTTTCTACGCTTTCCAGCCGCCTCCCGAAGCCTGATAGAGGCTAAGAAGCCCAGGAACGTGCGTGTTTTCTCTGCACGGTCGGGTTCAGCGGAATTCGCCAAGAATTCGCGGAAACCCACGGAAGAGTCGGAACACCCACCGCTGTTTATAGCGGCTCGGTCGTGTTTGTTTCTTGATCCCACATTCTTCCGAGTGAAAGAATGTAGAGATGCTTCCCAGTTGAGCAGAGTTTACCGGGAGATAGGCACGGCATAGCACCGGCACCAGTTGTCATTGGACACTAAGGACATCAGTTTTATCATGGGCAGAGATACTGTAGGAGTACGGAACTGCACGGAAAGCGGCGTAAAATGGCATCCTTTGTGTGTCAGCGTCTCTATCTGTCTGTGTGTGTGTCACGGTGTGTGTGTGTGTGTGTGTGTGTGTGTGTGTGTGTGTGTGTGTGTGTGTGTGTGTTCTCCCTATGCTCTCTCTCTCTCTCTCTCCATCCCTATCTGTGCTCTATCTGTGCTCTATCTCTATCTGTGCCGGTGTGTGCGTGCGTGAGAGATAGTGTGTGTGTGTGTCTGTGTGTGTGTGTGTGTGTGTGTGTGCGTGCGTGTATGCATGTGTGTGTGTGTGTGTGTGTGTGTGTGTGTGTGTGTGTGTGTGTGTGTGTGTGTATGTGTTTGCAGATGTATGTACGTGTCAGTTCCAGTATTTTCCATTCCTGCTATTTCGCATGTTAATGTTAAACTTTAGATATCGTTGTTTTTTCTCACCTGCTTCCCGACAGCAGCAGAGTCTTGCTGTTCTGCAGCCCTAGCGGCAGCAGCTCGCGCAGCACCTCCTGTAGGATGAGCGCGCCCATGAAGGCAAAGTCATCTGAAACATAATAATAATGATAATAATAATAATGATAATGATACAAATAATAAATGCAAATAATAATAATGATAATAATAAAAACATCCGTGAATAGTTTCATCAGGTTGGTAAGACACTGAATAAAGAGACTCTTTTTACACAACCAAGTCTTTTATTCAGCCGACGTTTCGGCAATGTGAACCAGTCAGAATTGCCCTGAGGAAGGCGACAGACGGTCACCGAAACGTCGGCTGAATAAAAGACTTGGTTGTGTAAAAAGGGTCTCTTTACTCAATAATAAAAACAGTTTATTTCAAATCCGTTGCTGTATTTGAATGAGTATACATATGAGAGAAACAGTGAGGATCACACTATGCTGCTGGTCTATAGTAAGGTTCTGTATCTGCATTACTGATGTGATTTGATTTGATTTGATTTATTGAGATTGCAACAGTGCAATACATATGGGACACAGGCAGCTGTTGCTGGTGTTGTGTCCCGCACATAGAAACAAATACAGGACAGACAATACTCATTTTAACTTGAGTTAAGTGGTGAAAGTCGTGTAAAGTGCCCTTCGCAAGGCTTGTAAGGAGTGGAAAATGAGAAATGTTTTGAGAAAAATATACTTTGTTGCGTATTTTATCTTCTAACAATTTTTTCTGGCTTTTTGGCCTTGTCTTTCGCTGAGAAGAAAACATCCAAGCGCGACCTTGGGCGTCATTTTTCAGCCCACTTATCGTCCTGTCAGCGCCCCAGAAATAACATTTGCGTTTGTTTGCGGTGGCGTGGCCCATGACGACACACAAACACAGACTCATGGGAGGGAAGTGGCGATGTCTGGTTGGGTAACGGTTAAGTATCCGACTTGGAACCAAAAGGTCCCGGGTTCGAACCCTGTCATGCCACCCATCTTGTGGCCTTGGGGAAAGGCACTTTACACGACTTTCCTCAGTATGAAAATGAGTATGAGAAGGAATACTGTATTGTCCTTTGTGTTGGTGACGGTTTAAAACTGAACTTGATAACTTGAGTGTGCCGGAATAAGAAAAAAAAACAGAAGAATAAACACACCTTTGTCCCTTCGGGGCGACGCGCCGCTCCACACGTCACTGGAGCAGTAGGGAACGTACCTGTGGATGGACACAAACAACCATCGGTCAGTCCGACTCCACTCCAGTCCTAGCCTCTACCAGGCTTCGGGAGGCGGCTGGAAAGAGTAGAAATTGGCCAAGTAGAGAGATGGCATGCCAAGGGAGCTGGTCTTTTTGCGGCAATATGTACTCTCCAGCGGACCAGCTCCCTCGGCATGTTATCTCTCTATTTGGCCAATTTCTACTCTTTCCCGGGCCAGTCGCGTCCCGAGGCCTGGTGAGGCTACTACAAGCGCACAATATGCCACACTGTGGCCTGTTTGGTCAGTACAGCCCTTTACTGTGTTCTCTAAGGGCCACAATACGCCACACTGTGGCCTGTGTACCGCACAATACGCCACACTGTGGCCTGTATGGTGCACAATACGCCACACTGTGGCCTGTATGGTGCACAATACGCCACACTGTGTCCTGTTTACCGCACAATACGCCACACTGTGGCCTGTATGGTGCACAATACGCCACACTGTGTCCTGTTTACCGCACAATACGCCACACTGTGGCCTGTATGGCCGACACAGCCCTTCCCTGTGTTGTCTGAGGACCACTTGTGCCTCTCTTGGCGGCTGAAGTGGCTCTTTGGTGTTACTCCCATGACGTTAGTAGTACAGAACACTCTTGTTGGGCGTTTTTGCCCTTCAGTCGCCCGGCTGTTTATCTTTGAGTCAACCGTAGGAGGTTTTTCCTACCGCAAGTTTGGACTGAATGTGTTAACTGTCACTCAAGATCTGTCGTTGAACATAAATGTTTTCTGTCGTCGAAAATCGATCATTAGTTGATCTGGTGTTGAAGCTATACGCGATGATAATTAAACGTTGCGAGACAGATGGTAATGTATGTATGATTCAACCGCAGCAGGTTTTTCCTACCGCAAGTTTGGACTAGTTCTGTTAACGGTCACTCTAAATCTGTAGTTGAGTGTAGTTAACCCTTTCATCTTGTGTCTGTTCGAAACGTTTTTGCTTTCAGTGCATCATACGTGGTAAATGGTATTCGAAAATTTTTTTTTAATCAAAATTATGTGACTTGTATTTCGCAAACAATTTCTTATGACGAATAGCTTTATTAAAAGCTAACAGAGCAAGGGCTCCCACATGATATTCAGTTAATAAACTACGTCTAAAAGCTCTAGACGCTTTGGAAAGAGTACGGCCACTCTATTCTCTTGACGTGCAGTATTGTACTGCTCTCATACATATTCCTGTAGTAATACTAGTAGTATCTTAGAATAGACTTGGTTGTATTGATCACATTGTTATTGATGACATACATGTACAACTGTCGAGCAATAAAGTTCAGTACAGTTCTCTGTACATGCCCGTCCACGAAGACCTAGACGCTGATCCTAGTCTCCACCAGACTCTTTTGCAGGCTGAATAAATAGTAGAAATCGGCTAAGGGGAACTCTAGCCTGGGTACCATCCCCAGTAGTATTCGCACGCTCTATAACAGTTATAGAGCTGGCGAATATACTACTGGGGATGGCACCCAGGCTAGGGGAACTCATCATTGCCGGCAGGCAAGCTGGACCCTCTATGGCCGGCCAACTCCTCTGGCCAATGAAGTTCCCCTTAGCCGATTTCTACTATTTATTCAGCCTGCAAAAGAGACTGGTGAAGACTACTGCTGTCATACAAGCCCGTCCACGCAGACCTACGCTGACCCCCGTACTTATCGCTGAGACAATAATCTACGTGACAGATCCCCTAACCGTCGCTAAGCGGCCCCCAGATTACTCATCACCGCACTTCCCGCGCGCATTCCCGTGCGCATTCCCGCGCGCGTTCCCGGCGTGGCTGCGGGGATGCCAGCGCTGAGCTGACATTTCCGCCATGTCACGTATCCTTTGATCCCTGCCCAGTGCCCAAAATTAGCGGGAACTCACACGGTGTTGGCGTTCCACCAGTACGGGTTCTCCTCCGGGTCGGGCGACAGGATCCCGCTGCCTGGAACAAGCGAAGGGAAACATCAATACGTTTTGTGCTTAGAGGTGAAAATCCAACACAAAAAGTTCCCTCATCTAGGAGGGCCTGCAAGCCCTTTTTCGTAAGGCGTAATCAGGCCGTTTTAGGCTTCGTAATTCGTAGGCAGCCTCCGCAAAAATCAACGTAATTCGTAATTGGACATTAGCCGCAAATCGTAAAGTCGTAATCATCTAGAGCTTTCGACCAGTCACTCTGGTCTTCCTCTGGACACTGACCCAGTCAGGCTTGTCACGTGGCTTCTTTGAAGTTGAACTGAGGAAGACCAGAGTGACTGATCGAAAGCCCTAGGTGAGAGAACTTTTGTGTGTTGGATCGAAAGTTTTAATTCTAAATTTGTAACTACCAAAACAGATGGACTTTCATGATAGATCAATAAGTTTTATTGCAAATTCCTGCCCGAAGGCTAATTGCAAATAACAAAGATAAAAGAACATTGAAACGGAGTACAAAATAGCTTCAAAATCTACACAACACAACACAAGGTAAGAAAAGGTAATTGTCTAAAACTATAGCTATATTTCCGACGTTCCGATATTCGGTCTAGCCTTCGTTTTGCCGACACCTGATTGAATCTCATAAAGATCCATCCAAAGATGCTGTTCACATAAACATGCTTCCAACACCCCCTAAGGCGATAAGCTACACCGACGAATGCTGCTTGACACATGAAAACAGTCACACAAGCCGGTTCCGACATACTAGTAGTGGATGATACTTGAAACGTCTGACAGTTTTCAAAACCTATCCAGTCGTTTGAGTAACTGCTACTTTGGCACCCTATCATCTAGACGTCAAAGCTTCATCGTAGCGTAACGCGAACTGTAACTGACCTTTTTTCCTGTCCGGCCACCCCTTGGAGCTCATGAGGTTGCGGGGCATGTTAGCCCACCTGTTCCGGCAACTCGCCTGGTCAAAGCAGTACCAACCACCTGTGGGGGAAAAACGCGATAAGAACTAACCACTCCAACACCAAACTGGCAAAACATTAGGCTTGGATTTAGTTTAAAAACCTCTCCTGGGGCAAGCTTTGACGTGAAACTAGTGCTCTGTGTATTGTTGAAGTAGAGAATTGTGCTACGATGACCTAGTGTGCTCGAAGCGTGGTTATGGAAGATGCCGGTATTGGTTATCCCCACACACCCGGCCGGTGAGTTGACTACTGCCATAGTGGCATTCACTAGCCTCTACCAGGCTTCGGGAGGCGGCTGGAAAGAGTAGAAATTGGCCAAATAGAGAGATAACATGCCAGGAAAGTTGTGGTCCGCTGGAGAGTTCAGTTTGCTGCACACGAAGCCTGTCGGGGGTCGCTATGTTCTTTGACATCCCTCTACCTCTTCGAGTGCAGCAAATTGTACTCTCCAGTGGACCACATGTCATGTTCTCTCTCTCTCTCTCTCTCTGTCTCTCTCTCTCTCTCCTCTCTTTCTTTCTCTCTCTCTCTCTTTAGCCAATTTCTACTCTTTTTCTGTCGCCTCCCGAAGCCTGGTAGAGGCTAGTGATCATCACATCATCCACGGGTAACTTCGCACGGTGACTCACGGTGACATCGCCCAACGCCGTCACTCCGGCGATGCGCGGAATTCTAAGCCTCTTCGCCACTCTTGAGAGCGACGCGCGGCACATCCCCCCTATCCCAGCTATGCTCCCATCAGCGGGGGCCTAGCGCGGCGGGGGTCGGTCATTACGGGCCGGCGACTCGTGTGGTCCCAGGACGGGAATGGGGAACGGTATGCGTCGGAATCTATCTACATATCGGCGTTACGCTAACCTTTGGTTAGAGTTTACAACCCTAGGATGGCCCGTGTGTACCGCAGAGGTGGCTATGACAGTTTATTGCAAGAACATGATAAAATGACAAGTAGTAGAAATGCTAATGAATGCATGCGTCGGTATATCTACATATCGGCGTTACGCTAACCTTTGGGTAGAGTTTACAACCCTACTAGGACCTTGTCACCGTACAGGGCTCTCTCCAAGCAATGAAGCAAGAGTGCTCTCCTCTCCCCCCAAATCCTTGCACCTCTCCCAAAATGTGCAAATTAAGGGTTTTCTTTTTATATAATAGTATTCCCAGGACGGCAATGAGGAACGGTATGCGTCGGAATCAATCTACATATCGGTATTACGTTAACCTTTGGTTAGAGTTTACAACCCTAGGGCTCTCCCCAAGCAATGAAGCAAGAGTGCTCCCCTCTCCCCCAAAATCCTGGGACCACTCGTACTCGTGTGGTCCCAGGACGGGAATGGGGACCGGTATGCGTCGGAATCTATCTACATATCGGCGTTACGTTAACCTTTGGTTAGAGTTTATAACCCTGGGAGGAAGGACCCTGTCACCATGTCCTATAGTTTTATCTTTTCCGTCATTGGACTGCACGTTTATCAACCTTCCAATGTGTGATGATTATTATTTGAACATTAATAAATGGGACCACTCGTGTGGTCCCTGGACGGGAATGGGGAACGGTATGCGTCGGAATCTATCTACATCTCGGCGCTACGTTAACCTTTGGGTAGAGTTTGCAACCCTGGGGCCCTGACACGTGTCCTATCATTTTATCTTTTCCGTCATTGGACTGCACGTTTATCAACCTTCCAATGTGTGATGATGATTATTTGAACAATAATCCCAGAACAATGGTCCCAGGACGGGAATGGGGAACGGTATGTGTCGGTCGGAATCCACATATCGGCGTTACTTTGGGTAGAGTTTATAACCCTGGGATGGCCCGTGTGTACCGCGGAGGTGGATATGAAAGTTTATTGCGGAGGGCTAATTGCAAGAACATGATAAGATAATAAAATGATAATAAATGATGCCACCAATGCTACTTTTGATATGTTATTGCTGGGTTAGATTTCTTTTCTGTGTCCAGTGGAGTATGTATACACACCATGTATCGGTTCGAATAAGTGCATCATATGTGTTGGAGGTTGGGCAAAAGATCCTTACAATATTTATATAAAATATTCAGTATGAAATATCTAGACTATATGTAGAAACAGATCCTGCGGTGGCAAAGCTATAACCAAATTAGCTACAAGTGTGACCATTGAAAAAGCTGTAACCCAATTGGCCACAATTGTGACCATTAACTTTGGTGATTGATGGTAACTCTTTTGGCCTCTTTTTGGTTACAGCCTTGCCATCGTAGGATCTGCTTGGAGATTAGATAAGAGAATGTCCTTGGATAAGAGGACAATTGTCATATCTGCTTGAAGACTAATATCCTCACCTTCCAAGAACAGCAGCCACCGCTTGCTCCCGTGCGATCTCCGTAGGTAATACCTGCGGACAGAAAAAAAACGGAAGAGTAGACTTAAAGGCCACTGACAGGTCCCTTTATTTCTGCATCACTTATGGCCACTCACACACCCCCGATGCGAACACATGCATCACACTGGATGAACACACTGACTCCTCATGTAGTGTTACAGTAGGTATGACTGTGTGCCTGGACACACCACTGTGTGCCTGCACGCACCGCATCGAATACCCGCGGAAAGAAAAAAACGGAAGATACTGACACATACTGCTTCACATTAGCACATCTGAGTCAGTATTTCATACTTTGGGCTTTTCAAACTGCAGAAACAAGACCCAAGATGAGTCTTTTATTTTCTGGGTGGTACCCTAAAAATCAGCCAAGGGCTCTTTCGGTAACCATTTTCCGTCAGAATTTTGGGTATTTTTGCTCCGCGAAGGTCAATATACATTGGGACAGTGTGGTTTCGACTCAGTATGATAAATAACTATAATATTGGCTTTGAAAAATCGGGTTTCCAAGACCTAAAAACTGCACTGGATGCCTTTTAAGACCACTGACAGGTATGTTTATTGGATTAAGTGGAAAGGGAAACGCGATTATTGAAGCCGCACGTATCATTTGCCGCTCGGCACGTGGCGAAGGCGCGGCGCGTCCCTGGTGGGGTTTTTAATTTGTTGTTCCCGTCTGCGTTTTAACCGCGCCGCTATATTTGAGAGGCAAGTTCCTAAGAATAGCGGCCTGGCCGCGATTTAGCGCAGCTTCTGTGCCAAATGGAGCGCGGCGTGGCGCGGGCCTCGGCTGACCTTGCTGCAATGAATTCCATATTGAATTCCTTGGCCGCAGAATGAATGACTGGAACGTAGTGGGAACCGTAACCCTCCCCAGTGGCCGCTTTAAACTGATACAGTCCCTACTTCACACACCTCAGAAATGCAAACAATTTCTAATGAGTTTAGACAAACCTTTGATCATCAAACGTATTTGTTGTCACATTTCCACCATTGAAAATAATCAAGTAGAAGCCAAATTCACTCACGTACTAGCGCTAACTTGAAGAATGTACAAGTATACACGTGTCTGTTAGCTATTCTTCTGTTGTGACCTGTACTTAACCCAGTGGGTATGTTGGTACAATACGAACAATTCTTCGGTCTTCATTCATTTAAACAAAGATATAACACGTGTCTTCCGTCCTCAAGGCATATCGAAGGCTACTGAAGCAAAGTACTTTCGAGGAGTTTTCTTGTCATTTCAAACGAACTGTATACCCCTCGTAGACGCCCTTCATGTTCTTGGGTTTGTACACAACTGCGTAGCCCAAGGGCTCCAGAAACTTAAACTGAGATGGTTGTAGCCCTAGCCCTATGTAACACATTAAGATGCGGGGAGAAACTTTTTGGCTTTGAGGTTTGAATCGCATCCTCGAGTTCCTTTTAACCCTTTTCTCAATCCTTGAGTCTTAAACTTGAAAATACAGCACCACTTCTTTCATCAGAAGCATCGAATCGGACTTTCCAACCTTTGTTATCCACCTTTTTCACTAGCCTCTACAAGGCTTCGGGAGGCGGCTGGAAAGAGTACAAATTGGCCAAACAGAGAGATAGCATGCCAGAGGAGTTGGTCCGCTAGCGAGTACACTTTGTTGCGGTGCACCCGGGTATCTCTATTTGGCCAATTTCTACCTTCTATTTCCAGCCGTTAAACAAAGCCTGGTAGAAGCCCTGCAGATCTAGCCTGGGTACCATCCTGGTTAGTTTACGTCGCTCCTACCAACGCGACTGTGGGAGCGGACGTAAACTAACCAGGATGGTACGCAGGCTACGGCAGATCCACCGTGACTTTATATCCCGAGTCTTTACTACGGCAGGATCGGACCAGACGTCGCCCTGACACGGCCCTGACCCGGCTCAACCCGATCCGCGCGGTCAGGCTTTCATGTGGCAGAGAGCGGAGATAAAGCATGCAGCACCTAACAACATACACCTGAGGACGGGGTCGGGAGGCGCTTCATGTGTTTTCACTAGCGTACTTCTGATGACATAACCGGTGCAATGGCCAAGTGGGTAGAGTGCTCGCCTTGCGTTAGGTAGGTCGTGAGTTCGACCCCCGACCAAGTCATACCAAAGACATTAACATGGTATATACTGCTTTTTCTGTTTAGCACTCAGCATTTGGGAAAGAGTTTTAACTCCCATCTACCCAACACTACCAGTGGACTAGCCCCCTGCTGTAGTGATTGCACAATTGTGTGGCCCAAGGGCTACTGAACCGGAGATGGGCGCCGCCCTTTGCACCACCTGGTGTGGGAAGGGATAACTAACTAACTAACTAACTACTGACGACGGGTCCCATTCGGAGTCGTCAGTTTTTCCAAGTTCTGTAGTACAATATTTAAATTTTGTACCATGCATTTATATCTGTTGCTCCGATATCACTGTGTAGAATTTACAACGCTACGAGAAAGGTACCGGTCTTTTTCCTCTTCGAAGTACTTTCGTCAAGATATGGCTTATTTTTGGCATGTTTTTAGGTTTTTTTATCGGGCTTTCTTTTCTGCATATTTACGTTGGGTAGGCCTTAAAAAAGATACCAGTGCAAAAAAGAAAGCTATACAAAAAAGCCTTAAAACACGCCAAAATAAGCCAAATTCCAAACCTCTGTTTGAAGAGCCTGTGTCAGGCGGGTAGGAAGCATTCAGCACGCCTATACTCGGGGTAGCCGACCTGGTGAGGCGCGGTGTTACACCCGGGTTCGGGTTACCTGCCATGTGCGGGACGTGTGCTAGTCATTACGCCGGGGAGGGGAGGTAGTTCCCCAGCCACTAAAGGGAAGGGCTCTCATAGCCTCTCCTTGCCTCTACCAGGCTTCGGCAGGCGGCTGGAAAGAGTAGAAATCGGCCAAATAGAGAGGAGAGAACATGCCAGGGCAGTTGGTCTGCTGGACCTTCGGGAGCGGCAAAACTGTTCTCTCCATGATCCAGCAGACCAACTCCCCCGACATGCTATCTCACTATTTGGCAGATTTCTACTCTTTCCAGCCGCCTCCCGAAGCCTGGTAGAGGCTGATACTGCCTTGCCAATTTGATTTTCGCTCGCAGTCACTACCAGAAGACGTGCTCGGAGCCTAATGTCCTCCGACAGGCCGGATCCGTCGTCAGGCCAGGCACGGCAGAAGGTCGGCGGCGGTGCCGGGTCGGCTTTGAGGCCGGTACCCGGGATTAGCAGCGGCGTCTCTGCAATCACCTCGCCCTTGTTGTCCATTAGGTTTATTGGGTGCTTTGACGACACGGAGACGGGAGAAAGGGCGCGGGGCTGGCACCGCGACCTCGCCTTTCATCTGTCTCATTCCCGTGAACAGTCTTTATGTAACGGTTACATAAAGACCTTTCCTAACGAGATTTCATGGGAATGAAATGAGATTCGGGGGGATGAAAGTGAGCGGGTCACTAGAATAACAACAACGCAGGTGAAGAGAGGACATGGCGTTGTGAAAAGTAGTATCTTATAAGTGGGATGACTATTGAATGAACTTTGAGCGCGTCCTACAATTTTACAGGTCTGTCAAAGAGCGCGAAATGATATCCATTCCCATCAAGGTCTTTCGATGGTCTCTCAGTGATCTCCTAATGGTCTCAATGAGCGGCGATTGTTGGTCGCTCGTGGGTCGCCCAGCGGTCTCAGTGTCGAACAAGACTCCCATTCGCCCGCCGTCCATGCCGTAAGTCGGCTAGTTTTCTGTTTGCTTGTTTGTTTGTTAGTCGAGCAACATAGAAACTTACAGGACACCGTGGTGGGCAACTCTAGCAGGTTGCTAATCATCACCCGGCTAGTTAAGGCTCACTTTAGACTAGAAACGCTTAAAGGGTTTCGTTTCCGATGGGCAAACCGTTTCCGTCTACTAGAAACGGTATACCGTTTCGAAACGGTACGAAACGTTACGCCAAATGGTATTTCATGGGGTTTTAGGAAACGTTTCCGAAACCACCTCCACCGTGGTTTTGAAACCCTTCAGTGGGGTGGGGGGGGGCTGAGCCCCCTCCTGCTAGGTAAAAAGAGAAACGGTTTTGCCATATGCAGTCCCGGATAACTGCGTGCCAGCTGAAATAGGCTCCGGGGTTCAGTCAGCCCTGCTAACGGGATTAACCAAGCATAAAAACGGGTGCGTGCGGCGGCAAACGAGAACCGACAGAAATACATTCTGTACTTTAAATAGTAGTTACATAATCACATCCAGCCAAAGACCTTGGCATTGTAAGTTTTATGACGTCGACTACTACGGCCCACCCACTACCTCAATGACTGGATGGGTAAAGTTACTTAATCTCCAAGCAGATCTTTTGGTGGGGGTAAGACAGTATCAAATAGGCCTGGCATGTTATCTGTATAGCCGGTATAACCACCCTTCGGCGTAACACACCAGCTTCGCAGGCACGCGGCGCGGCGGCAGTTGGCTACACCGAATGTCTTGTTACACCTACATGTAACCCTTGTTATACCTAATGTTATCTCTCTATTTGGCCAACTTCTACTCATTCCAGCCGCCTACCGAAGCCTGGTAGAGGCTAAAGAGACGCCCGCCCTCCCTGGTCCGTACTTACCCTGCAGTCTCTACCAGACTAACTTCGCTAGCTAATATAGGAGTTTGACCGCCTTGTAGGTTTGACTGGCTGCGCACTTCGGAGGGAAAGAAACTACCTCCCCGCGGCTGGACTCCTTTGGCCAATTTTACTCTCCTTTTTGCCGAATTGTACGAGCCGTATTCCCGTAGAAAGGCCTGGTGAAGGCTACTTACCCTGCAGGTGAGCCGTCGTTACATGTGACAGACGTGTTCCGCAGCTTGTGTAGCTTCATGTCGGTGAAGCCCATAGACCCGCAGGCGTGCACAGCCTCGGCAAGGTCCTTCATCTGTAGAGAGAGAGACGCGTTCAGGTGAAACACAACGGTTTCAAATTAATTTAGAACCGGTCGCTATCTGTTGTATCCAGCACCGTGCTTTATTCAGAGGCATTGCTCTGGTGCGGTTTTGGATAGTCCATGCCTATCCAGAATCGTACTTTATCTAGAAACAGGGCTCAGGCACTGATCTGGATAGTCCATACATAACCAGACCTCTGCCTGATCCTGACTCTAGCCTGTTCAGGTACGATTCTGGGTACAATAAGCGTTTATAGAACTACTCTCACCTCAGGACAGAACAAGTTGTTGATGTGATCAGACAGTATTTTGTGTTCATGAGTGAAAACACTTTGCTAATTGCGGAGCGACGTAGAAAACATTTCAAACGTCTTCCTGCTACAGTAAGAGATAGAGAAGACTTGCAGAGAAAAGAAGATTCGACCAGTTTAAAAGGTTGAAATTGCCAGAAAGAGTTTTAATGAAAAAGAAGCTGTTTTCAACCTTAATTGTTGGAGGGTCTAATTGCGTCCTTGAAGCTACTGAATGAGGAGCGAGAGATGTACGATTCCAGCATGTCGTTGCTTCTCACCGTGTGCGCTTTAAGTAAACCCCAGCAGAACCACCTTATTCCCGTAGTTAAAAGTACGACACGACATTTGATACCTTCTTTGCGAAGTTCTGTCCCTTTTTCCTAGACTTTCTCCTCTGCGGTCGGCCTAATGTCTAAGTATAGTCCAGAATGAGTGGTAAGTGCCTACTCTACTATACTCGTACCATCAGCAGTCTAGGCCTATTAAACATGTCTGAACTTGAGAAATGTTTATTATTTTTAGTATTAGTTTGTATACTATTATATACAATAGTTTGTTAAATCGTAGTAAGAAGATACATGCAAAAATCACCTTATAGACCATCTGGTGGGGCATGCGCATTCCCGTATAGACGCACTCTTGGTACGTTTACATGGATACATGGAGCGTAAGTGACGAATCTTACAAATTTTACGAAACGCAACTGTTTCGTATTCTCCAAGGAGGCCTTTAGGCTTCGGCTTATTTTTGATTTTATGTGTTTTATCTAGCTTTTTTTTCATTGCACTAGTATCTTTTTATACGTGGAAAATGGACACAGCCCTGCCAAGTTGATACTGTCCTACCACTATCAAAATATCTGCATGGAGATTAACTCCGTAAATAATTTCATCAGGTTGGTAAATGATTGAATATTGAAATTCTTTTATTCGAACGAACAGTTGTGAATAAAAGAACTTTAATATTCAAGGAGATTAACTGTTTAGATCCCTCCGTTTCAGAGGGTGAAAACACGTGCGTCTGATACGATATGGAATGAAAATGCCGGCGACATCTAGCCTCTACCAGGCTTCGGGGGGCGGCTGGCAAGAGTAGAAATTGGCCAAATAGAGAGAGATAACATGCCGGGGGAGAAAGTACAGTTTGTCGCACTCGGCATATCATCTCTATTTGGCGAATTTCTACTCTCTCCAGCCGCCTCCCGAAGCCTGGTAGAGGCTAGGAGACACCCAGACATAAGTGAGGTTTGACCTACATGTACCTGAGTCATGAGCGCCTCGGAGTCGGCCAGCTTCGTCACGTCGATGGCGAACTCGTCCGACAGGTGCCCGCCGACGCTCCGCCCGAACACTTCCGAACCCTCCCGAACTAACACGAGCAGCACGACGCCCAACAACAACATCGTCTCCTCGGTCCTGGGGGAAAACGAAGGCAAGGATTTATAATATATATACATCTATATCTGAATTTGTGTCTGTATCGATATCTATGTATCATATCACCATGGCAGCTTCTGTGTCCGTATCTGTATAGCCGGTATCACTGACCTTCGGCGTAACACACCAGCTTCTGTATCTGTATAGCCCGTATAACCGCCCTTCGGCGTAACACTCCAGCTTCTGTGTCTGTATAGCCGGTATAACCGCCCTTCGGCGTATCTGTATCCGTATCTGTATAGCCCGTATAACCGCCCTTCGGCGTAACACACCAGCTTCTGTATCTGTATAGCCCGTATAACCGCCCTTCGGCGTAACACACCAGCTTCTGTATCTGTATCTGTATAGCCGGTATAGCCGCCCTTGGCGTAACAAACCAGCTTCGCAGGCACGCGGCGCGGCGGCAGCTGGCTATACTATACACCGAACGACCTGTTATACCTAACCTTTGCACATTGAAATGAAAGCGCAATGTGCAATGACTGTCCACTCTACTGTGATTGGTAAAAACGCGTTTCACTCTGCGACAGTTCTAGGAAAGAACGACTGTAGTGGAATGTTTACATCTAGCTCGCCGTAACCAGTCCCGACAGTTGCCGGAGACAGCGGCCCGGGTACCCCGGCCCTGGAACACCCCCTCCCGCGCAGAAACACCCCCCTCTCGGGAAGGAAACACCCCCCTGTCGGGAGGGGGAAGTCTGTCGTCGTGCTTCGTTTTACCCGCAGCGGGTCGCCGACTCACGACATCAGGCAAAGGCTAAAAGTAGCACAAAGTAACCGGCAGTCACTTAGGAGCGAAATTGGCAGCACCTGGAGTAGACGTACGTCCTTTCCAGCAGCCTCCCGAAGCCTGGTAGAGGCTAAGCCAGCTACACTTTTTTTTATATTCGAACATCTGATCACAAGACGTGGTGACGGTACACTCAAGTTTTTTCAACTTATATTAATGCCGCTACCAACACCAGGACAATACAATACTCATTTCCACCTGAGCGAAGTGAGGAAAGTCGTGTTAAGTGCCTTTCCCAAGGGCACAAGATCGGTGACATGGCAGGACTCGAACCCGGGACCTCTTGGTTCCGAGTCGAGCACTCTGCCGCTACGCCACATGACCCCACATAAGCCAGCTACACTTTTCTTTTTATTCGTTCACATAGAAAAAGTTACAAGACATAGTGGTGCCGCACTCAAGTGGAAAGCACTTATGTTTACGGCACCACTAAATAAATACATATAGTAAAGAAAAAACAAACGCATTTTTAAGACAGGCAAAACAGTAAATACAGAAAATTCAAACGCGCAAGTCCGGTTCCCCACCCACTGATGATAAATGATGGCAAAGAGAGGACACAATACATAGATAACAAAGGGGGAAATTGAAATCCTTTAAAAACGTTCTGATGTGGTGATAAAGTTTTGGGTACACTTGTCTCTCCTCGGCCGAACGTAACCCTGCAGGCTACAGACGATTCAGGCCGCCGACGCCAACTCTCCTCCCCGTACCCAAACCGCGGGAAGTTAGACTAATTGTGAGGCTTCCCTAAGAAATTGGAGGAATTCCGCGGCTTCCACGACGATGACTAGCCTCTACCAGACTAACTAGGATGGCTATACATAAGAGAATGACTGCTAAGGTAGTTTGGCCGCCTTGTAGGTTTGACTTACTCTCCAAGCAGAGGTTGTGGGGAATGATCGTTACCTTTTTATATATCCATGGCCGTTTTTTTTTGTCCTGATCCCCACCAACCAGCCCGTCGGTGGCTAATGGAGGTTCTCTGGCTAATGGATACTGCCTGGCCAATTTGATACTGTCTTTTTTGCCACCGATAGGGATCTGCTTGGAGATTAGGTTTGACTGGCCTTCGGAGGGAAAGAAACTACCTTCCCGCGGCCGGACTCCCCAGGCCAATTTTACTCTCCTTTTTGCCGAATGCTACGATTCGTAATCCCGTAGAAAGGCCTGGTGGAGGCTAGACAATGACTCAGGCAGGCTGATAACTAGTGTAGAGTTTCGTCGTTCAACCAGCAACGGCCTACCGACACTCCGACGCAGCTTTCCAGAACACCTTACCGTTCTTCGAAAGCTGTGGATCTTAATGTTCATCTTTTCCTTTCTTTGTGATCTCGAAGTTCAAAAAAGCAGGGAAAATGACATAGGGGAATGGCATTGTATCCTCGATATATCAACCAAGGACTATACTTGAACACTCCTTTGCAGAAAAAAAACCAAAGCGTTAAAAAGAGAGAATGGCTGGAAGATGTCAAAGATACCATACAAGTGTGTTTAATACCAGACGCCACTCGTGGCACTTATAGCGTTTTAGATCCCCATGTTGTGTTCAATGACGAACATGGAGTTTAAATGTCGTTGCCAGCAACATCGTCTTGTTGTGGGAACGGCGCTAGACTGTTCTCCAGCCAGGCGCCTCTGTTAAGTAGCCTGTCTTGGACCGCGTTAGGCTCAAGACTGTCCAGAAGGCGTAAGACAGTAGCCTCTACCAGGCTTCGGGAGGCGGCTGGAAAGAGTAGAAATTGGCCTAATAGACAGATAACATGCCGGGGGAGTTGGTCCGCTAAAGGAGTACAGTATGCTGCTACAGAATTGATATTTGTTAGGCTGTACTGTAGCGTGCAGGTGGTTATGTAATGCTCTACGTAAGAAGCAAATGTACTTCTTTATGCCTAGGTCACATTTCCAAACCGGGGCCCGACCGGGCTGTTTGTATGAACGAAAAACGAATTCATATCAAGAATATATCGAAATAGTGTCCATGGTTATTATCGAAAACTTTTGTGTTTCCTTGTCTTTTAATTTATACCGTACTTTTCGTTCCATAAGACTGCCCGGTCGGGCTCCGGTTTGGAAATGTGACCTCAGCATAACGGACCAAGTCCCCTGGTATGTTATCTATTTGACCAAATTCTACTTTTCCATCCACCTCTGAAGCCTGATAGAGGCTCGGTACATCCACGACGAGAGCGTCGCCCTCCCCAATTACAGCAGCGCCTGAGCAATTTGGCGTTTCTCTTGGATCCTTGCGCTGCCGACATGCCTGCCCCCACCGTCCGGCGCCACGGCGCTGGGAAACAATCTGCCGGCTAACGGAGCGCTTCAGCCTTGGCTCCGGCCGGCTGTCTGCTCGTAGCCTCTACCAGGCTTCGGGAGGCGGCTGTCTGCTTGTAGCCTCCACCAGGCTCCGGCCGGCT